CCACCTTAGGTGTACGTGGCTGGCGCCTTAGCCGGTTGAGCCACAGGCGCCGAGCCGAACTTACTATTTAATCTGAGATAATGGCTCACTAACTTGAGCTTACTTTTTCCCAAAGTGTTTAAATTCTTCAATCTAATTGTAGAAAAGACTACTATTCCTGAATCAATCTGAAAGCTGTCACTTTTTATTTTATGGCAAGTGGCACTGTTAAAGGATTACAGAAAAAAGTTAATGATCATCGTTGACTTTAAAAAGTCAGCACAATAGGCCTTATCTATCCAGATGAATCTGCCAGATTGAAAGGTAAGGTATAGCAGGCTGAGTCAAAGCCAAGTTTATTCAAATTTAAGGTACTCACATTGATATCTAAATTAATTTATCCCTAGGCATAAAAAGACAGCAATAAAAATTAAAACCAATTTACTTGCAAACAGAATTACAACTGAATGACTGAGCAGGATTCTTTTCACATTAAGGGTGCGTATTTTAAAAATCCTCACATCCCTATTAGAAATAAGGTAGGTGCACTTTCATAATTTCAAACAGATTAAGTCAGGAGGAACACTAGGGATGATCCCCACTTAACCATAATTAGAAACATGTTTCTTCCTTACCTTCACCACCCCCGAATATCACACACAGGAAGTAGGCAACATGCAAACACAGGTTTACTGGTTCACAGACACAAAGTACGACACACACTCTCAAAATACAAGATAATTCACAGGCATGCTGGGCCAAGAAATCCATCAGGGGAGGAGGGTGGTGGTGAGAGGAGAGAGACGAGCGCTGTGCAGCATGAAGGCAGTGAGGCAGGGCGGGGGCTCAGAACAAGCACTTGGGTCTCCCCCAGACACCTGGGGTGTAAACCCGTAAAGCAGGAGAACACATTAGCTACTGCACAGATCTTTCAATCCCTTTCTGAAAGGAATGGTTACGTAACCAAATTTATCCCCTCAGAGAAAAAGGCTACCATAGTTCAGCAGAGAAATCATAAAGAACATTCAAAAAGATGTATAGCTAAAATTCTCCTGCTTCTTAGACCAAACTGTTCATTCTGGAACCCACATGACATTTATGCTTAGCAATATCTTTTAGGAGATATTTTCATGGGTAGCATGTAAAATACAAAGCCATGCTTTAAGGGAAAAAAATGTTGTAATGGCACTGTGGTTTTCATAAGTCTTCTTCCATACCAATCCTGAATATAAAACAAATATAATCAAGTATTAGCATTCTATCTAAATAACCTCAAGCAATATTCTAAGTGGCAAAAAGACTACTTGCATTTTTCACCAAAAAGTCAGGCACAAATCCTCAGGAAGGATCAAACTACAACTAGTATGATTCCAGTGGCTTCTAGAGTGAAGTGGCCTTAGTTCCCAAATGTTTCTGAGGAGAACACATTGCACACATCTCCTCAAACACCGGGAACGCTTTTCAGAAAACCTCCCTTGAACCTCCACTGAAGGTTTTCACTCAGCAGGTCAAGGGAGGAGCTGAAGGCACTTCTGATGAATATCCTCCCTCCAAAGTATCACTGATACAAAGTCTAACGTTGTCATAACCATGACAATGTGTAAAAATACCTCACACAGTACAGTACAAGGATGAAATAGAGTACCAGATGTCTCCATTTGGTCATTTGATCGTTTGTTACATTAGTTTACATCTCTGTAGTGCCCATGTGAGGCAGTATGGCAAAACAGTAAAAGCTCTCCTTAAAATCAAAAATCCTAGTTTCAACTCCCAACTCTGACACGCATTAGAAGCATAGCCTTGGCAAGTCTACTGAATGCGGTTTCTTTATATATAAAATAGAGTTTCAAATACTTTAAGATTGGGAAGATCTTGGCTGTGTTATATAGTACCTTGTAGGTATTTATTTTGGATGTAGTTACTAGAGATTTCCAAGTAAAGTGCCTGATCTCCCAATTTAACTGTCGAAGGCCTGAAGCCTAGTTCAGGGTCTCTGGCTTTGGAGTTTTAACCCAATTCAATGGTCTCCATCTATAAGGTAAGGAAGGAAAGAAAAGGAGGAATGGGGCTTCTCTTTCCCAACAATAATGTAGAAGGTTCGGAGCTGTGGTCTGAGAAGGCTTCATGGGCCTTGGTAAAACAGAGCACAGGATGGGCCTGGGGTGGGCAGAGAATTACAGCAGTCACAGGAGCGGCAAGACTCTCATCTTTACTTTCCTGTCACCCACGGCAGGGTTTCTCAATCTCGGCATTACTGACATCTTGGGCTACACAATTCTCTGTTATAAGGGGTTATCCTGGGTTATTTATGTAATAGCATCCCTGGCCTCTACCCCACTTTATGCCAGTAGCAACCCCTTTCCCTCAACTGTAAGAACCAAAAATGTCTCCAGACACTTGTCAAATAGCCTTATAGTAATATGACTGACTAGATCTTGAAGGGCCACAAGTAAGAACGGTGAAAACATTACACAAAGAATTGTCAGAGGATGAAATAAGATCCTTTGTGCTAAGAGGGTATATGAACTTTCTTTCCTAAAGCCAATAATTTTTTCTAAAATGCTTTCTTAATCATCACCATAGAAATGGAAGACTAAAATTCTTGTCTCCTCAATGATTCTCAGAATTAATCAACACATGAGACGCGCTGGAGCCTACCTGCTCTGGAACACTCTTTCCCTGCATTCCTCCTCCTAAACACATTAGAGCGGGGTCCTTAAACTTTTTAAACAGGGGGCCAGTTCACTGTCCCTCAGACCGCGGGAGGGCTGGACTGCAGGCCCCAGGATGAGTCGGCTGCTAAGCAGGACAGGCAGCGGCGGCAAAAACACCCGGCGGGCCAGATAAATGTCCTAGGTGGGCCGCATGTGGCCCACGGCTGCAGTTTGAGGACGCCTGCATTACAACTTCCCATGAGAGACACAAACTTGTAAAAAATAAGAAGGGCAGATACTTATTAATAAATTTTTAGGAAATAAAGACATAGCAAATAATAGAATTTTCTGCCATTTAATTCTGAATGAAAGGTAAAGAGGGACTTCCAACTGAACTATTTTAAAGGAGCTTTAGGATATCCACTTTTGACTAAATTGGGGTATACTTCCTCTTCAAAACACACATTTCCTGTTTAGATCAATAGTCAAAGAGAACTCTCAGGAGAAAAAACTCTATTTAAATGTTTCCTCTGAAGGAATAATGTAGTGAGGTAACCAAAAGGGGGAAAAAAAATAGACGCAGACAAAATTTTGGAAAAGGACTTGAGCCCCTTCAGATAACTCTGGTCACGCCCACTAGCAGGAGCAACTGAGTATTATTCAACATAGATGACAGAAATGGGGCTCTGCCCGCCCTCTCATGAAGCAGTGCTATGGCATTACACCAGAACATCAAGACTGCTGAATTACCAAAACAAGGTTCAGAGAGTTGCTAATTAGGTAAAAGGTGGCTAAAAATAAGTGAGCAATCCAACTGAGAAATACCAGGGAAACTTTTGAACTCTGCAAGGGTCTATGGCTTAAGGATGAATCAAAGACTCCTCTTTGTAAAGCACATCATAGCTAAAAAAAAAAAAAGCAACGGGTAAGGCAATGAATAGGGCAAGATTTTATACTGTCAAGTTCTCTATACCCCCAAAGCTGGCTTACAGAGCTTTGATTCAACAGTGTTGGTTCAGAAGAAGTCTAATCTGTATCTATATCAACAGCTATACTTTAGCATCCTAACACAGGAATTGGGTTTATTTATCTGTTTCTCTTTCCTTTTTACCACAGATCTTCTAATACTTTTCATGTAACTGGCTATTTAATGGGCCCAAAAAGTCAAACCATAGTTTGTATAAAGTGAACCCATCATTTTCTGAATGAGGGAGACATACATTAGGGAAAGCCAAGATGGTGGCTCAAATTATGGCACAGAAGTCAGAAACAATACTTCAAAATTCTGGCCTTGAACTTAGATCCAAGAAGAATTTTCATTTCAAAACCTATTTGCATGAATCATTTAGCTTCTAAAAGGATCCATGAAAACCAAAAACATAAAATTTAAAGGAGGCACAAATGGAAAAATTAACTCTTACCTTCGAGGACAAGACCTTTCTACACATCTAAGAATAGGATTGGAATGGAAAAGAGACTTATGAAATTTCTGGTCCTAAAAAGCCTTTAACAAATGTGTGCTATAAATTTTGTAGGACGCCTTACTAGAAATGAAATGCCAGACATAAGCAAAAAGGTTGAAGCAACACACAACTGAGCCTCCTACAGAATGCTCAGTACACAACTAAGAGCCTAAATACACATGAAGAATTCACAGTAAGTGCTGTTTTCCAACCTGTGGTGGCTGTGTGGTGCCGAATCGATATTCTCCTTGTTTGTCTCGATTGAACACAACCTTCCAAAGGACCATGTCAAGGAAGAAGTTCTGAGAGATAGTCCAGTGAATTAAGAATTAATAATGACTAAATTCTTTATTAATGTGCACATTTTTAAAAGACTCACACAATGCTGCAACATAATTTGGGTTTCACAGAGAATTTCAGTTAATATTGCAAAAGGATAAAGAATAACAAGACTTTTGTAACAAATATACATCATAAAGTTCTTGATAAAATTGGACTTCTAAATTTCCCACAAACTATGGCTTTTATATGAATCCTTAGGTCTTCCCCATATTAAAACAATGCTTGCAATTTGAAGTCTTTTCTTAACAATGAGTTATTTTCATTGAACTAATATTTAATATTAATTCTACATCTATATATCTGTACCTACAGATATTTATGACTTTATCAGCATGCAACACAATTCTTTAGATAGTAAGAATAAGAAGGCAGAAAAAGGAACCCTTTTAGAATACAGTGTCTTAGATGTGCTTTCCAGCATCCATAACATAGAAAAAATACATTCTACTTGGCACCATAAAAAGGTCAGTGCGATATCCATGCTGTCCACAATATCCCAAATTTTAATACCAAGTCATTTTTTATGGAGATAATTGATATTAAGTATACTTTCTAAGTCTAGAACTATTATCACGAAAACATATATATTTCTGAACAAATTACCCTAATTTTAGTGTAAAAGCCTCTCCCTCTTCCATTTCTTATATTGCTACTATAGGAGTGAATTATGATTAAAGTTCTAGGAGTAGTTCATTAATAACCAACAAATGAGAACTTGCTAGCTCCTTTTTGAGAAGCTGACCTAAAAGCAATCCTAATGGGAAAGTAACTATACAGTATATAATATATATATATATATATATTTTTTTTTTTTTTTTTT